TACACAGATTTCCTGCTGACACTAGACTGTTACTGCAGAGACAAAGTCCAGGGACACCAAGTGTCAGCAGAAAAAGTTTACCATCTGAGAGTTTGGAAGTCTTCATCAACTCCTAATCTTTGGCTTTGACACATTAATGACTTGGATGGTGATTAAAAACAACATGATCTTAATGACATCACTCAGCTCACAGTTGTACCACTGCACAGTTTGTCTGCTTCTTCTGTTGAATTTCATCTGGAACCGTGATGCTTGTGTCACATGTCCTGTCATAAAGTACCACAGGTTCAGTGACGGTTCCTGTGGTTTATTCACCGTAGTCTCATGTTTTTGTGGAAGAGGTTTTTTTATTGAGTTTAGGTTGATGGTAAACATTAATCTTGTACCAGGGTCATAGAGGGGGAGACTGGGTAATGTTGTTGCCACAAAGTAAGAAGGTCACTGGTTCAATTCCCAGCTCTTATTGCTGGTCTTTCTGTGTGGAGTTCTCCCTGTGTGGGGGTGTTTTTTCTCCAGTTTTGTCCACAGTCAAAAACTGCAGATTAGGGATTAGATTAATATTCACTCTGAACAGCCCATTGGTGTGAATGTGAGTGTGAGTGTGGATGGTTGTCACTATGTGAGGCCCAGTGATGGACAGGAGAACTGTCCACCTTTAACGTTGGCTTTGCCCGGTGACTACTGGCTCCACTTCCCTAGTGGCCCTTAGAAGAATGCAGCAGTAGAGCATAGATCATCGTTGTACCAACGCAGTCACCTGTGCAAACAGGACGTAGTGGTATCTTAGAGTATGTGTTTTTAAAAACTGTGTAGCACAAACAACATTCACTGAGAAAATGATTGGACCAACACTAAGATGAGTCACTACTGAACCATGGTTGTAGGATTTTTTATTAAAATAAACAGAAAGAACAAGTCACAGCTTTCTTGACAGCAAATGGAACTTAACGGCCAAGAATTGTCTAATCTCTTTGGATTGTACACCATAAATGATAGGGTTGAGACTTCCAGGGACGATGACAAACAGGATACCAAAGAGTTTGGCGTAGTCTTTGTGCTCAGGGAAACGGTGCATGATGATAATGATGCTACCGCTAAGAATCATGACCAAGAAGACCAGGAGGTGAGTGCTGCAGGTCTTCAAGGCCTTACTGCTCAGAGACTTGTTCTTACTGGTCAGGCAGACCATAAGATGGGTGGCGACCATGCTGCCGATGGAGGCGGTCGTCAGAACCACGGTGAAGGTCAGGCCGTAGACGTTATTTATGAGGACACTCTCACAGGACAGTTTGAAGAGTGAAGCATTGTCACAGAAAGGACCTTTGATCAGAGTCCTGCACCGACTCAGTCGGGCAGTCAGGCCAATTAGAATGCCCACTAAAACAAAGGCCACTCCCCAGGCAGAAACTGTCAGCTTGACCAGCATCTTGTTGGTCATGATGGCACTGTAGCGCAGGGGGTTACAGATGGCCACGTATCTGTCAAAGGCCATGATCATCAGCACGGTGTGAGTGGTGGTGCCAAACAGCTGCATGATGTAGGCCTGAACCATACACTGGTAATAGCTGATGAGGCGTTCAGGGGGGGGGCGCAGGATATCTGCCAGCAGTCTAGGTACCATATGAGTGCTGCCAATAATGTCACTGACTGTCAGGTTACAGAACAGCAGGTACATGGGCTGATGAAGGTTCTTATCAATGATGATTATAATAGAAATGCCCACATTCATCACCATTACAAAGACGTAGGAGATGAGGAAGGTGAAGAAGACAGGGTACATGCTTCTCTCTGTCACCTTTAACCCCTCCATCTTGAGCATGTAGCTGTTGTAGGTCAAGTTCTCCTCCATTCTGAAATCACAACAAAACAATATTTCTTTTTCATCAGTTCAGAAAATAAGAGCTTTTGAGGAAAACATGTAAAAACACCTCAAATCAATTCATAACTGTAGTGTAAATTTGCAAAGTTTGGGGAAGATGAAAAATGTTCTGTTAGATTTATAAAATGAAATAAAAGTCCAAGTCAACACGTCCACACCTGCCACAGAACAATGTCAACAGTTGTCTAATGCACCAAATGACATGAGGACGTGTAGACACAACCACTGTGATGTCATGGGTTACACAGACACATACACAGATTTCCTGCTGACACTAGACTGTTACTGCAGAGACAAAGTCCAGGGACACCAAGTGTCAGCAGAAAAAGTTTACCATCTGAGAGTTTGGAAGTCTTCATCAACTCCTAATCTTTGGCTTTGACACATTAATGACTTGGATGGTGATTAAAAACAACATGATCTTAATGACATCACTCAGCTCACAGTTGTACCACTGCACAGTTTGTCTGCTTCTTCTGTTGAATTTCATCTGGAACCGTGATGCTTGTGTCACATGTCCTGTCATAAAGTACCACAGGTTCAGTGACGGTTCCTGTGGTTTATTCACCGTAGTCTCATGTTTTTGTGGAAGAGGTTTTTTTATTGAGTTTAGGTTGATGGTAAACATTAATCTTGTACCAGGGTCATAGAGGGGGAGACTGGGTAATGTTGTTGCCACAAAGTAAGAAGGTCACTGGTTCAATTCCCAGTTCTTATTGCTGGTCTTTCTGTGTGGAGTTCTCCCTGTGTGAGGTTAGGGTCATTTTTCTGTTTTAACATTCGTGGAAACCACATAAATGTGTCTGCAGATAGAAATGGTATCAGGAACACTTTCAGGAAAATAGAAATTTAGAACGAGGGGGGAGGGGAGGATACTTTATGGTTTTAGGACTGTTGGTCCTTGAACCCGTAGAGACCTTTATGGTGGTGACAGTAGACGCTGGGGTTATTTTAATGACTTTAACTTCAAACCGTCTTCAGAGTCCAGACCCTCAGGTGTTGGGTGGACGTCGTCCTTCGTCGTCATCAGCAGATGTTTTTGTAGAGCTCCGGTGTACGGTGTCATCAGTACAGTTCAAATTCATCGTAAAAATGTTGTATGAAGACGTTTCTTTAAGCCTTCATTTAGTGAAGGACACACCGTTCCTTCTCCAGATGTGCAGGTGTAAATATGTCGCTGCCACATAAAGGTAAACAAAGAAGCCAAAGTTCGTGTTCGTCTTCTGATTTGACCAGTGTCAGTGAGGTCCAGAGCAGAACTGGGTTTTATAACAGCAAGACTTTTACATCTTTCCATGAAGACATGAAGTCATTCATCACAACGTGCCATATATAATACTGAATCACAAAGTTACATCAAGTTATCAGTTCCAGTGTGCAGTAGGAACAGCTCCAGATAAAGAAGGCCTTTCCAGAGTGTACCACCGTTCACTTTCTTATTTTAGACAAAGAGCCATTTATTGTACATTATTTACAGAGCAGTCATATATTGAGTCTACAGCTGGAACGTCTTTCACATCCGCACAGAGAAGAAGCTAAAACATTGTGGTATAATCTGTAATCTGACACTTTATAATCTACACGTCCACCACCATTAGGTTTAAAGCAAAAACACACGGCAGGGGCTTCAGTGACTTATTCAGTAACTTTATTTGCGTTGTGGATTAGTTTAGTTGACCAACCTGGGCCAAGTTGATTGAACTTATTGATGAAGAATTGTCTAATCTCTTTGGACTGTGCACCATAAATGATAGGGTTGAGACTTCCAGGGACGATGACAAACAGGATACCAGAGAGTTTGGCGTAGTCTTTGTGCTCAGGGAAACGGTGCATGATGATAATGATGCTACCGCTAAGAATAATGACCAAGAAGACCAGGAGGTGAGTGCTGCAGGTCTTCAAGGCCTTACTGCTCAGAGACTTGTTCTTACTGGTCAGGCAGACCATAAACCCGACGGTGGTGACCGACCATGCTGCCGATGGAGGCGGTCGTCAGAACCACGGTGAAGGTCAGGCCGTAGACGTTATTTATGAAGACACTCTCACAGGACAGTTTGAAGAGTGAGGCGTTGTCGCAGTAAGGACCTTTGATCAGAGTCCTGCAGCGACTCAGTCTGATGGTCAGACCCATGAGCACAGACACCAACACGAAGGCCACCCCCCAGGCAGAGAGTACCAGTTTGACCACCATTCTGTTGGTCATGATGACGCTGTAGCGCAGGGGGTTACAGATGGCCACGTACCTGTCAAAGGCCATGATCATCAGCACAGTGTGAGTGGTGGTGCCAAACAGCTGCATGATGTAGGCCTGAACCATACACTGGTAATAGCTGATGAGGCGTTCAGGGGGCGCAGGACGTCAGTGAGCAGCCGGGGCATGATGTCGGTACTTCCTATGATGTCGCTGAGTGACAGGTTGAAAAAAAGCAGATACATGGGCTGGTGGAGGTTTCTGTCAATGATGATCAGAACTGAGACGCCCACATTCATCACCAGCACAAAAATGTAGGCAAACAGGAAGAAGAAAAAGACGGGGTACATGGACTTCTCTGTGACCTTTAACCCCTCCATCTGGAGGGTAACACTGTTGAAGGTGTAGTTTTCCATCAGTCTGAAATAGAAAATGAAAAGAAGATGAGAGTCACAGTCGACTTTGTCTGCTCAACACAAACAAACAAACAAACAAACAGTTTTTTTGGGTGAAGTGAAGATACATGTTTTAATAGATTCAATGAAAAGGCTTTTAGTTGACATTAGTGCTAGAAACACAAAGACATGAAATGTTCAATAATTGTCACGTCAAGTACATACTGTATATGTATATATGTATTTATACATATTTACATATATATACTCTGTCAACATCACTACAGAACATGAACGTGTCGTGGAACTTCAAACATCGCTGTCAACATCGATGGCACACGACAGGACATACGGTGAACGTTGCTAACACTTCCTTCTCCGTGTAGTTACCTGATTGGACGTGAACCTGGACAGATGTCGGGGGCTGATCGTTCTTCTCGACACACTCCGGGTGGGCAGTGTGGCCACTGTTGAGACGGCCCACTCTTTTATACTAGGTTTTGAATAATTCTGCGTTACCTAATGTGTGGTGTAACGCTGCGGCTGTCACTAGGCAACGGTTGGTTTCCCACTCCGACAGGGGGAGCCACTGGCTGACTGTGATTTTAGTGGTAGTGAAGAAAAGTTGAGTTTAACTTAAATGTTTTCTTTAATATTTATTTAGTTTAAGCTGCACCCCCTACTTCCTGTGAAAGTTCAGTATTACTTTGATCAGTCAAAGCTCTCCTGCTCTTATTGCCCTAATGCCCTCTGTGACTGACTGTGTTTACCAGAAGGTTCTGATGAAACCTGAGACGCACACCTTCATGTCAGACCTATGGAGTGGAGACAACGTACACCCCCCGTGACACAGGCCAGAGTTTGGTGGTGTCACTAATGTTTGGAACCACAGACTGGGGGTAGGTGGCGCCAAAGACACGAAGAAGACTCTGAACATATGAACATCTACGTCAGGGGTCGAGAACCTTTTCAGCAGAGATATTTTCAAATGTATTTCTGTGAGAGCCATACAATTAGTTTTTTCTCTGAATACAACTGAAGTTTTAAACCAGACCAATAATTTAATATTATAATAAGTTTCTGAAGTATTAAAATAGTTATTAAAATTATGTTCAATACGATTCATACATGAAATCCTCCTGACCATTAATGCGACTTCTGGCGCTTCGTGGTTTGAGTTCTAAATATATGGTTCAAACACAACACTTCATTAAACACCACCGAAGAAAAACCTTAATTTATCGTACGGTCATTAAATGCACCGCCCCTGCTGATTAGGGTGGTGAACCCTGTGGAGCAGCGGTCGACTCTGCTGTCCTTACAGTAGGAGGACGTGTTAGGAGGTCCGTCGTTAATTAATTTGATTATTTTTATTTGATCATTAACTTTTATTTAGTGGATCTTTTCAGTGTGTGTGTGTGTGTGTGTGTTCCTCCAAAATGACTGACTTTATTTTCACTTTTTATGCCATAAATAAAAGATTTCGAACTGCTGTGATGATTTGAACACTGTGATTTCTGTGATTTTTTTTTGTGAGTTATTGTGTAATGAAACAACAGCTAAGATTTATCTGAGAGTCAGACGACGTCATCAAACGAGTCACATTCTGAGGCTGAAGTCACTTTGAACAGGTGTCCGACCTCATGTCCAGATTCAGGCGGTCCAAACGGTGTATAACTGGACCGGTCAGTTCTACTGGACCATCGGTGCATCATGAAAAGACCAGCGTTTACTGTCGGACTTTATTAGCAGTGAGTTTGTGACAGGAGCTGCACACGACACCAGTACCAAGACAGATTACGTGTTTTTATTTTCACTGGTTGAAGGTACAACTGGTTCAATGACGTACTGTTTACTTGACCGTTAGTTTTCTGCTGAAGTATTTGATGATGCTAGTGCGCAGCTCTCTGCTAATCAGGCCGTAGATGATGGGATTAAGAGCCGGTGGAACAACAATGAACAAGATGCTCAGGAACTTCTTGATGTTGGCAGAGGCGGAGGGGAATCTGTAGGTCAAGATGATGATAGTGGACGATATCTCAAAGAGCACGTACACCACCAGGTGTGTGGCACACGTCTGGAAGGCCTTGCTCCGAACCGTGAAGTCGCTTCTGCCGTGTTTGATGGAGCTGTGCAGGATTTTTATGTAGGTGAAAGCAATGATGACAAAGACCCCGGAGCTGATGCACCAGCTCATGGACAGACCTGGAAAAACACAAACACCTGTCTGTTGTCAGACCTGGGTTTGACCCCCACCTTCACCTCTGACCCCTCCCCCCCTTGATAATGCACTAACCATAGATGTTGTTTGCTGGGGTAGATTTACAGGCCAGGCTCAGGATCCCACGGTTGGTGCAGTACACATGTTGGATGACGTTTCCACACAGTGGGGTGTTGGCGTGTAGGCCGAAGAGCACAGTGATGCAGACCACGGCCGTGGACCAGGCAACGGTGCAGCAGGCGTGCAGACGGGCCGGGGTCATGATGGTGTGGTACCTGAGGGGCTCGCACACGGCCACGTACCTGTGGACAGAAGAGGAGAATTGTTGTTGTGTTTTTGTATCGTACCCAGTGAACGTATCGTCAGGTAGCCACAAAAATGAAAGTGTGGTTTCAGTGAGCAGCGACACCGCGCTGGAGATGATGATGTTGTTGAAAAGCCTTTCATATATACATACATACATATATACATATATATATATATATATGTATATATATATATATATGTATATATATATGTATATAAACAGTATATTTTTGTGTAATTTGATTGTTTTTCCCAGACCCCGTCCGTCTCTGTACTAAGTGGAACCACGATGTTCGTTTTTAGAGAAATTTCAACGACTGTTCTTTCACACAGACAAACAGTCCAAACAAATTCATTCAGATTTGGTTGGAGGACGAACTCGTGGTCAGAACAACAGGTCCAGTTCTTACTGAGGTCCAGATCGGACCCAGTCTGTCTAATACACCTTGATACCTGTCGTACGCCATCGCCCCCAGAAGAGTCTGCACCGCCACGCCGTACGTGTGAACACAAAAGCCCTGGGCGATGCCGGCAATGTAGGCTATTCTTTTCTGCCCCATCAGAAACTGCCCCATCAGGCAGGGCAGCACGGCCGTGGAGCCCAGCAGGTCACAGACCACCAGGTGACAGATCATCACAAACATGGGTCTGTGCAGGGTTTGGTCCAGGATGGTGACCAACATCACCACACCGTTCCCAAACAGCACCACAGCGTAGTTGAGCAGAACCAGGAAGAACAGCAGGGCGCCGTAGCCGGGGGGAACGTAGAAGCCCTCCAACTCAAACACGATGGGCTGGATGAGGGGGGTCAGAGCGCTGGCGTTCGCCATCTGAAGGAGAACGGTTCTGTAAGAAGACATGAGCTCTCCTCCCCCCCCCCACCTACCTTACAGTACACAGTATACAAAGATGACTGATGAGTACCTGCAGTACAACAGAGGAGTGACAGCAGTGGAAGTTTAGGAGTTACTGCATCAAGGTTCAAGTTGACGTTCTTGTCCCTGGTTCCACCATCAGAACTTTGACGTTCTCTGTTTAATCAGTCGGGCTTCAAAGACCAACCTTTTATGACGGGAACCAGTTCCAGCAGGAAAGTCCGTGGTCAACAACACTCCACCCTCCTCCCCCTCTGGGCTTCACCTCGTCCCCATTAGAAATAACTACAAACACACACACCCCCAACAAATATCCCATTAACCCCCCCCCCCATCTGAAGATCAACAACACAGATACAAACAAACATATTGATGATATAAAATAATAATAATTAAGAAAACAGAGAGGGAGACAGAGAGGGGGACAGAGAGGGAGAAAGGGAGGGGGACAGAGAGGGGGACAGAGAGGGAGACAGCGAGGGAGACAGAGAGGGAGACAGAGAGGGGGACAGAGAGGGAGACAGAGGGAGACAGAGAGGGGGACAGAGAGGGGGACAGAGAGGGAGACAGAGGGAGACAGAGAGGGGGACGGAGGGGGGGACAGAGAGGGGGACAGAGAGGGAGACAGCGAGGGAGACAGAGAGGGAGACAGAGGGAGACAGAGAGGGGGACAGAGAGGGAGACAGCGAGGGAGACAGAGAGGGAGACAGAGAGGGAGACAGAGGGAGACAGAGAGGGGGACGGAGGGGGGGACAGAGAGGGGGACAGAGAGGGGAACAGGGCCACACAGTGTCAGGGCCACTAAGGCAGGAGGAGGTTTATATGTAGGTGTTTTTATTTTATTTTATTTTATTTTATTAAACACTAAACGTAGTGGATCTTTGACCCAGAGGTCAGTGTCTCTGTCATTGGTGTGGAACCCCAGGGTTCTCCTCCTGGGCAAGTTCGAATCCCGGTTAGGGCGGTTGGTACCTTCCAGTGGACTCACCACCACAGGAAGGTTCAGGGGGGGTTGGTACGGTGCAGTGTGATGTGGGTGGAGACTGCTGCCCCCGCGACCAAGTAACGGGTAAGTGGATGAAGATGGATGGATGGATGGATGGATACATGGATACACACACCCTAAACGTTGGTGATGAACTCCAGCTGCTCTGACGTCAGACTTCGTGGCTTCTCCATGTCGTACGTCTGAATGGATGCCAGCCCTGGGTTGAGCCACTGGTAACATGGAATACTGTTGTTCCAGGAAGTTGGTGTCTCGGGAGTCCACTGTGTTATGTTTGGAAAAGTTTGAGTGAAAAACAAAGGTGAAACTTTGTTGTTGTTGTTGTTGTGGCTTGAACACTGTTCATTAGTGTTTCATCAGAGAGCTGACGGAGGAAGGCCTCTGGGGGGGGCTGTCTCCTCCGCTCTGATCAACGTCAACACCTCTCCTAACTCAACTCATGAACTAAGTTCACTTGGACCAAACTTTGCAGCAGTTACCCTGAAAAACTCAGAGAATGATGTAACGATATCAACGGCAAATGGATGTGTAGGTTCCTGTAGGTTCCTGTAGGTTCTCTCAGAGTTGTGACCCTGGTTCCTGGTTCAATTTGAAACATTCCAAAGTCATTGGGTTCTCGATCTTCTGTCTGGTCCAGGAGGTCACGCTGCGGACTAGTGGTCTGTTCCTGGTACTCAGCACCATGGAGGCCTCACAGCTCCCAGCAGCCGGTCGTCCTTCAGCTTAATTCAATTCAAAGTATCCATGAAGGGTTTTCCTGGTCCTGAACGCCCCACGAGTGTCCAGGGTCTAATTGTCCAGTGTGATTTAATTTAATTAAGAGCAAAACCTGAGGCCATGATGGATAAAGGTCAGTCCCTGGAGAAAAGTCCTGGAACCATCTCAGCTCCCTCTGGTTTCTCAGATATCCTTTTAGAAAAACACTGATTTGGTTCTGGTTCAGAGGTCAGTCCAGACCTGGGACCAGGTTCAGACCTCAGTCACCTGGTCCCAGGTGAACCAGTTGGACCGTGGTCAGTGTTTGGTTTCAAAGTTACAACAACACTTGAGTTCTCCAGCTGTTGTTCAGAGAAGAAAGTTTGTCAGTAGTGCATGTCACCGTCTAACACCCAGGAGGTTTATCTACTGCCCCCTGGTGTCAGAGGTACTCTGACAAACACCCACGACTGCCCCAGTGCCTGTGCTCCCACAGGGGTAATTAGCATTAGAAAGTGTTTGTGGAGGTGGTGGCCCACAGTGGACCTCATTAATGATGGTCTGAAACAGTAACACGACTCATTACTGGCTGCTGTGGGAGCTGCAACACACACACACACACACACACACACACACACACAGTGATGACACTTCAGGAAAGTTTGGTGTTCTGATGTTCAGCTGTAACTTCTTCAACACAAGGAGAGAAATATATCAATAAACAGTTGCACTTTTGACCAATAGGACAGAGGCCATGACTGTTCACTGACTGTTCTCTGTCTGTTCTCTGTCTGTTCTCTGTTCACTGACTGTTCACTGACTGTTCTCTGTCTGTTCTCTGTCTGTTCTCTGTTCACTGACTGTTCACTGACTGTTCTCTGTCTGTTC